AGGGGCTTGGACTTCCAGCAGGCATGCGTGAGCGTGTTTGATAGGAGTGAATGGAGACAAATGGTTTTTAATACTTGACGTGCTGTTGGAGTGTAGCAAAGTAACATTTATGAAGGGATTCAGGGAAACCGGCAGGCCGGACTTGAGTCCTGGAGATGGGAAGTACAGTGCCTGCACTCTGAAGGAGGGGTGTTAATGTTGCAGTTTAAAAACTGTAGTGTAAAGCACCCTTCTGGCAAGACAGTGATGGAGTGAATGATGGTGAAAGTTTTTCTTTTTCGGGCCACCCTGCCTTGGTGGGAATCGGCCGGTGTGATAATAAAAAAATAAATAAAAACATAATATAGATGAATATGTATCAATCATAACCAGACGCATTCATCTGTTTGTTTACATCTTCTGCATCTCTGTTCTCTCTTCTTTCCGTCGATGTTCATTTTCCGGCGGTAGCCTAGAACCTATTCTGCCGTTGAAGTGGGGCCCTACTGTATAAGAAACAAGTACAGTGTCTGTTTGATATACCACATGTACAGCTTAAACCATCTAGAAACTCCATGCCAATAAAAGACCCAGAAATATGGAGCACTCTGCCTAAAGATGCATTGAAAGCTCACTATTTTCCCAGTTACTTCATTAACATTGTTAAAAAGTATGAATTAAATCTGATGTAAATTTATATCATGTATATGATTGAAATCTCCTGCATTATTGTCATTACTGTAATTCTGCCACTCACTAAAACACATCATGGTCTGATATAAATTTATCATAAATTGCTGTAATCTATAATTGTCCAAATATATCAATTACAGCCTGTTTTTTTCTACTCTATATTGATTTTTAACTATTACTACCTATATTTTAATCTCAACCATCATATGCTTTGCTAAAAGTACTTATGCTCTACTGTCACACAGTGCCTAAATATATATTCTAGGATTAGGATTGAGTATTTTATTAAGTTTAGAATTAGTTTGCCCAAACTTCTCTGCATAAATATGTGGCTCTCTTTGAACCTACAGTTGTAATTGTATCCAATTGTAATATAGTTGTATCCAACTATAATTGTAATATAATTGTATCCAACTGTAATTGTAATATAATTGTATCCAATTGTAGTTGCAATATAATTGTATCCAATTGTAATTGTTTTATAATTGTATTCAAACTGTAACCAAACACTATATACCCATCCATTGTAACCTCCAAATATGTTTTAAAACAAAGATTCAGAGCCTGATCTTCAGTAGATGAAAGCTTGGCAATAATACTCAAGGCAGAAGCAAAAGGTGTTCAAAGTTATGTATTGTAAAGTTTTATAAGTCATCAGATTTTGACATTGCAATACTGATAATCTTCAAAATATTTTGGGGTCTACTTGTTGCAACTCCGTATCTCATAGCTGTTGCCTCACAACTCGCTAGTAACTGCTTGTGGTTTATAATGTACTATATAGTGTGGTAAGTGTTTGAAAATGGGTAAAATGAAAGTGAGTGTTATTATCATCTCTTGCCTAACTGAACCGATTACCAGTAATTTACCAAGGGCTTTAAGGATAAGTTAGTAACTGCTTTTGCAGACATTTTCATTTTTCATGTTAAGGAAGAAAGAGAGGCAGTAATTTCATGCACTGGTCAGGGAGGTATACTCCATTTTTAGGAGTGAAGAAGAGCAGAATGTAAGATGTGGGGGGAGGTACAGTGAGGCAATAGTAGAATGAAAGGGGGGTAAGCAGCTTGTTATGATGGGTAATGACAGAAATGTTAAAAGCAGGGGGGGATATAGATGTTGCGGAGTGGTTGGTACTTTTGTTTAATTAAATGTATGAAACGAGGGGGGGAACGGGTACCTAGGGATATGGCAGAGAGCATGTATAGTGCCTTTATTAAAGGGAAAGGGGAAAATAGAGGATTGTAAAATATTATAGTCAGGATTAAGTTTACTGAGTATACCAGGAAAAGTGTTTATGGTAGGGTTATAATTGAAAAGAATTACAGTTAAGACAGAATGTCTGTAGGCGATTGGGCAATGAGCAGTGGAGGCTCAGAGTGGGTAGGGGATGTGACTAGATTAAAGTGTTTACATGAAGCATTTATTGTGAACAGTATTAGATAAAGGTAGGGAATAGTTTTTATTGCATGTTATGGTTTAGAAAAGGCATATGATTAGAGGTGAAATAGAGGAGCATATGTTGGCGATTTTGCAAGTATACGGACTAGGTGGTAAGTTACTAAATGCTGTAAAGAGCTTTTATGAGGTTGTAGGCTCTCAGGTTAGGGTGTCTGTAGAAGAAGAGGTGAATACTCTTCCCGGTCAAAAAGTGGCCTTAGACAGGGATGTGTTAATGTCACCCTCGTTGTATAATATATTTATAGATGGGGGATTGTCAAGGAAAAGTAAATAGCTAAGGTGTTCGGGAGAGGGGTGGATTAAATTTTGGGAATCAAATTCAAATGGGAATTGACACAGTTCTTTTTGCTGATGATACATGTGCTTATGGAAATTCCTAAAGAAAAATTGCAAAGGTTAGTTGATGAGTTTGGGAATGTGTGTGAAAGGTAGAAAGATTGAAAGTGAAAATAGAAAGAGTAACGGTAATGAGGGTATCAAATGATTTAGGATAAAGAAACAATTGGTATTTCAAATTTGTGGAGGAGGAGTATGGAAGACAGTGAATGTTTTCAGATCTGGGGAGTTGACGTGTCGGCGGAGGATTTATGAAGGATGAGGTTAATCATAGAATTTGATGAGGTGAAAAAAAGGTGGGAGTGGTGCATTGAAGGTATATGTGGAGTCAATAAAACCATTATCTAGGGAGCAAAGAAGGGAATGTTTGAAAGTATAGTAGTACAACACTATTATATGGGTGTGTGAAGCTTGGGTGGTAAATGCAGCCAGTCGAGGAGATGGTTGGAGTGCCAGTGGAGATGTCCTGTTAAGGGCAATGTGTGATGTATAAATATTATGCAGGGGGGGGGGGAAAATCGGAGCGAGTGTGGAAAATTAGGAAAAGGTGTGGAGTTAATTAAACGTATTTAGTCAGATGGGGCAGAAGAGGGGTTGTTGAGGTGGTTTGGTTCCATTTAGAGAGAATGGATCAAAGAGAATGAGTGGGAAACTGGACGAGCTGTATAAACTATAGGGGAAGGAAGGCGGGGTTACTCGGGGTCCGGTCCTCGAAAGGGTTGGAGAGAGTGGGTATAGGAGGTTGTGGGCAAGGGGCTTGGACTTCCAGCAAGCCATGCGTGAGCATGTTAAGATAGGAGTGAATAGAGACGAACAATGGTACTCTGGGAACCTGATGATTTGTTGGAGTGTGAGGCATGTGGTCATATTAGTGAAGGATTCAGGAGAAACCAGTATTTTCATATAGTCGGACTTTGAGTCCTGGAAAATGGGAAGTACAAAGCCTTGCACACTTTTAAAGGAGGGGTTTGGGATATTGGCAGTTTGGATGGGATATGTTGTGTATCTTTATTATGTGTATGCTTCTAAATTGTTGTATTTGAGCACCTCTGCAAAACAGTTGATATCATGTCCTGTGAGTGTGGTGGAAAGTGTTGAAGATGATGAAATATTTCTTTTTGGGGAATATAATTTTCTTTCTTTTTGGGGTCGCCCGCCTCGGTGGGAGACGGCGTTCCGACTTGTTGAAAAAAAAAAAAAAAAAATATTTTTTTTTTAACTCAGCAGTTGTCTCCCTCTAAGACAGGGTGGTCAAAAAAGAACAAAACACATTTACCATCATTCATTCAGTCTGTCTTTCCAGACATGTGTTGACATCACAATCAGATTACCATCCAAATGCAACATCCCCACCCTTCCTTCAGAGTGCAGGCATTGCTCTTTCCACCTCCAGGACTCAAGTCTAGCTCACTGGTTTCTCTGAATTCCTTCATAAATGTTATTCTGCTCACACTTCAACAGTATGTTCATTAAAAACCACTTGTCTACAATCACTCGCAAGCCTGCTGGATGTTCAAGCCTCTTAAACTCTAAGCTTCCATTTCCTCATCCCCTCCATCTGTTCTGGGAATCCCCCATCCTTCCTACCTACCTACCTTTATCAACCTATTCTCCATCCTCTCAACTTTCTGAAACAATCTCAAGTCATCATCCTTTTGAATTATACACTTGGTGACCCCACATATCCTTTTCATTTCTGTGTTTCAAATTCTTTGCATGATATTCACACCACACATTTCTCTTAAACATATCTTCACAACCTCTAGTTGCCTCTTCACTGCAGTGTCAAAATCCATGCCTTACACACACACAAAAATGTTGCTAACTCGCTACCACTATACTACATTCCCTTTTTTTCCTCCATAGATAAACTTCTTTTTTTCAGCAGATGCCTCGACACACCACCCACCTTCTTTCCCCTCTTCTATTTCATTTTCACCTCATCTTTCATAGACCCATCTTCTGAAATGTCCACTCCCAAATATCCCAATACATCCACTTCCTCTATACTTCCTCCCTCCAGTCTGATATTCATTTGATAATTTTTTGCTACTCTCATCACTTTCCTCTTTTCTATGTTCACTTTTAATTTCCTTCTTTTATGTACCCACCCTCCCAAATTCATCGACCAACCTTTACAATTTGTCTTCAGAATTCTCCAAAAGAACTGTCATCAATATTTTCCTAATTCTTTCACATTTTGGCATGATGTAAATACACAGATATTACAGTTCACTCACAATGTATATTTGGAAAAATATTTTCTATATGTAATCAGGAAAAGATATCCATGCCCTTGATCCCAAGAAACCGCATGGATTTTATACGATGTTCACATTTAATGATTTTCTTAATCATGTACAGTAGTGTTTGATGTATAGAATGACAATATATACAATAAAAAAAATTTAAGCTCTCAGAAAATCTGGCTGAACATTCCTCTTAAGAAATTTTAAACCATAATGTTGATAAATGCATTGACATTTTTATTGTACTGTAGTGCACTCTGTTGCATGTTTCTTTATTGTAGGGGTACGTGCTGTGTATGGAGCTACACAAGGGTCTGTGTGGAAGAAAATTTTTGCATCATTTGGGATGGCACTGTACATGCTAAGTTATGGAATACTCTCAGTTTTGTGGACCATTATCTCCGGTAAACTTCCAAAGCATCCTCCCTGGGCTCTTGTTGAGGTAAATTTTATTTCTGTGACTTACATTTCATATATGTACAAGCAGTACAAACAATCCTCTATAACTGATCATATGTGATTTAGGTCAGTGATGGTAGTGTGGAGCATATGATGAACAGTTGTAATCAACAATACTGATAATTATTAGTACAGTATAAATAATAGCAACATTGAGAAAACTATTATTTTTAAGATAGGTAGGGATGGGAATTTGTGGCATCATATTTAATGCTTAAAAATTCCCATTATAATAATACGAAGTTGGTATGGTTTGTTTGCAATCGTGTCATTACGATTTCTTGAGTCATAGTGTTTTGATGTCTGAATATTAAGTTAGTGTGCTTTGTGATTTAACTTCCTTCTAGTTGCCAAGTTTTGTGTTAGCCAAGCCATTTATCTATGTTGGATAGTTGTTGTGGAAAATTTTTGATTTTCCGAAGCTATAGCGCCTAATAGGTGTTTAATGTGTCGATATGAGTCAAAAATGTATTTGACAATAGGATAGAACCAAGAGTTCCCTTTGCGCATGCGCGGATGTGCGGGGGTATAGGTCGACTCGGGCCATGGGGGAGGCGGGAGTGTTTTGAATGTGGTGAGGAGGCTGGGAAAGCATGGAACCAGGAAATTGGCATTCACGGCGGCCTAAGGATTAATATAGGCCTCATTTCATAATAGGAAGTGTCGTAACTGTTCCTGGTGAAGAGTGAGGGAACGTGATTTACGGGACCACCGTAAAAAGGTGGTAAAATTAGTGAATAATGGTTTGACCGGGTGTGACTGGTGCACAGCCATGGTGTGTGTCCAGGGGAAATACCCGTGTGTTAATCCTCGCTCATCGGCCTCAGATCTTAATGGAGTGACCTCTAATGTGTATAATAATTATGAGACGTTAAATCGTCTTGTGAATGGTAATGTAATCAGTGATAATAACTTACCACCTATTCCATATACTTGCAACATCTGCCACATTGCTCCCCTATCCACTCAATCATATGCCTTTTCTAAATCCATAAATGCAATAAAACTTCCCTACCTTTATCTAAATACTGTTCACATATATGCTTCAATGTAAACACTTGATCTACACATCCCCTACCCACTCTGAAGCCTCCCTGCTCATCCGCAATCCTACATTCTGTCTTAACTCTAATTCTTTAAATTATAACCCTACCGTATACTTTTCCTGGTATACTCAGTAAACTTATTCCTCTATAATTTTTACAATCTCTTTTGTCCCCCTTCCCTTTATATAAAGGGACTATACATGCTCTCCGCCAATCCCTAGGTACCTTCCCCTCTTTCATACATTTATTAAACAAAAGTACCAACCACTCCAACACTATATCCCCCCCTGCTTTTAACATTTCTGTCATGATCCCATCAGTTCCAGCTGCTTTACCCCCTTTCATTCTACGTAATGCCTCACATACCTCCACCACACTTACATTCTGCTCTTCTTCACTCCTAAAAGATGGTATTACCTCCCTGGCCAGTGCATGAAATTACCGCCTCCCTTTCTTCCTTAACATTTAAAAGTTCCTCAAAATATTCTCGCCATCTACCTAATACCTCCTCTCCCCATCTACTAACTCCCCTACTCTGTTTTTAACTGACAAATCCATACTTTCCCTAGGCTTTCTTAACTTGTTTAACTCACTCCAAAATTTTTTCTTATTTTCATTAAAATTTCTTGACAGTGCCTCTCCCACTCTTTCATCTGCTCTCCTTTTGCACTCTCTCACCACTCTCTACACCTTTCTTTTACTCTCCATATACTCTGCTCTTCTTATAACACTTCTGCTTTGTAAAAACCTCTCGTAAGCTACCTTTTTCTCTTTTATCACACCCTTTACTTCATCATTCCACCAATCACTCTTCTTTTCCTCCTGCCCCCACCCTCCTATAACCACAAACTTCTGCCCCACATTCTAATACTGCATTTTTAAAACTATTCCAACCCTCTTCAACTCCCCCACTACTCATCTTTGCACTAGCCCACCTTTCTGCCAATAGTCTCTTATATCTCGCCCGAACTTCCTCCTCCCTTAGTTTATACACTTTCACCTCCCTCTTACTTGTTGTTTCCACCTTCCTCTTTTCCCATCTACCTCTTACTCTAACTGTAGCTACAACTAAATAATGATCCGATATATCAGTTGCCCCTCTATAAACATGTACATCCTGGAGCCTACCCATCAACCTTTTATCCACCAATACATAATCTAACAAACTACTTTCATTACGTGCTACATCATACCTTGTATATTTATTTATCCTCTTTTTCATAAAATATGTATTACTTATTACCAAATTTCTTTCTACACATAGCTCAATTAAAGGCTCCCCATTTACATTTAGTGTATATTTTTTTTTAACACACTGGTCGTCTTCCACCAAGGCAGGGTGACTCAAAAAAGAAATACTTTCACCATCATTTACACTACCACTGTCTTGCCAGAGGCATGCAGATACAATAGTTTAGATGTCCCTCTAAACAGCAAAGATCCCAAACCCCTCCTTTAGAGTGCAGGCACTGTTTATATTGTATGCATTTAATTTCGGTTCAGTAAATTTTAGTTCTTCATGAGGTTTTGCATTAATAAAGTACTTATTTGCTAAGATCAGGTTCATTAAAATATTCACCTTTCAGGACCCTGCTCGCTGCCCACAGTTGTTTTTGTACTCGCGAGCTGACAAATTAATTAGTTCTGATGATGTTGAGTTTTTCATCACTGAGCGGCAGAAACTAGGGGTTCCTGTTGTGGCCAAGTGTTGGGCTGATTCTCCCCATGTACAGCATTACAGGTACGAGCTGCTGCTATAGTTTTCTTGAGGTAGCATTGGCGAAATGTCCCATTTCAATGAGTGGTAAATAGAAACCTTCTTTAAAGTTGCATATAAAATTAGAAGGATGTTAGTAAATGACAAAAGAGATGTGTAGTATATGAATACTAATTGTTCATTTTAACGTGGAAAAGAAAAAGAAGTTTAGAAAGATGAAATATAATGATACAAAATAAGTAAAGCATGTTATCAGAGCGAACTTAAGTCAGGAAACAATAAATAAAACTATTTTAATTTTTAGTTTAACGTTTGGTTTTTAAAATGTGTTTGAAGCACTATGTATGAATGGTAGTAATTATGACTGTAATAGTGAAAATGTGACTGAAGCAAAGTATGTTAGTGAAAAAAAAAATAAATTTAAGCAACAGTAGGGCAAAATGATGATGATAATAATCCATGGGGAAGAGAAGAACCCTTCCTCCGTCAGTCATATCTGTCATACGAGGTGACTAAAATTAAAAATTTGAAACAAAATTTATTATATAGAAACAATTTAGTGGTATACACAAACATGAATACATCTAGGAATGTACCCCTCACAAATTTCAGGTTCAAATGTATTGTTAATTAACAGATATTGATAATATACATGTATATCAGTTTAAGATTGAAGATATCTACTTTATGGGTGTAGCACTTTTTAGTGAGTATAATAATGCAGTGGACCCTCAAGTTTCGTGAGCCTTACGCTTCATGAATTTCGATTTC